GTGTATGCGTGTGTGTGTGTGTATGCGTGTTTGTGTGTGTATGTGTGTGTGTGTATGCGTGTTTGTGTGTGTATGTGTGTGTGTGTGTGGTTAAAAAGAAAAAGGGGGGAGGGCACGTCATAAAATGCGTGGGTATGTATGTAGGCATGACTAAGCGTAATAATTGAAGTAAGAATTGTACGGCACTTGCAACACAGTACTGTCTTAAGGTCATAAAACTGCCGAGGATTAGAGGTTTTACAAGAGAAGGGGGAGAGATCAGGACGATAGATACAGTATGTATCATCATCATCACCATTGCCTTTCTCACCGTGCACCAGGGTATAGGCCACGAACAAACACTTTCCACCTTTCTCTATCCTGGGCTAGCCCCTTGATGTTATTCCATGTCTTCCTACTTTTCTGTACATCAATTTCTGTGATTCTGCTCCAGGTTCCACGCGGCCTTCCGCTTGATCTTTTCCACTGTGGATTCCAATCCAACACTTTCTTTGTTATGCAGCTGCCTGGCTCCCTGAGAGTACATCCAATCCATCGCCACCGCCTTCTTCCTACCTCATCTCTGACTGGGATCTGTCTTGTTTTCCTTAACCCGTCCTCGTTGGTGATCCTGTCTGTCCATCTGATCCTCAGTAACTTCCTCAAACACTTGTTCAAGAAAACATGGGTCACGTAAGTCTGAGATGCGTTACAATATGAATGATCTCCGTCAGTTAACTCAGCTGGCATCATGCTGGACTACGGAACTGGTGGCCCCGTAGGTGGCTGGCGGATGCTCGGTGTGGTTTGCTCTTTCTTACCTATCAAACATCTATCGTCCTTATCTCCCCTTCTTCTTTTTTATGTTTGTTACTCTCTTGTAACACCTCTAATCTTCTGACGCTGATATGACCTTATACAGTTGCGAGCGCCGTAAAACCTCTACTAAAACCAAAGATACTGTAGGCTGTACTATCTTTGCTAAAACTAAGACTGGGTGTTCTAGAACTCAGGTCGTTTTATAGAGTCTTCTAGTTTATCACTGTCAGCTCATATTTTGGCTCTGTCGTATCGGGGACAGACGTTAAATTCGGAGGTCCCGCGCCTCTTCAGCAACCTAAGAGTGTTCATTTGGGAGTTAAACCTATGCACTTCCGAGCGCCGTAAAACACTTACCAAAAACAAAAACAAACCCTATACGCTTATACTTTTCATGGCAGGGTGGAATTAAACGCTTGTCAATTTTTGGGCGTATGGAGTTATTGGTATCATTTTGTAGTCTGTTTATTTATCTTTTCTTTTAAAGAAAAGAAGGCTAACTACTAATGTTGTTGTTGTTGTTGTTGTTGTTGTTGTTGTTGTTGTTGTTGTTGTTGTTGTTGTTGTTACTGTTGTTACTGTTGTTACTGTTGTTGTTGTTGTAGGTGTTGTTGTTATTAATGGTGTTATTATTAGTGTTGTTATTATTAATGTTTTTATTATTGTTGTTATAAAATATTATTCTCTTTTAAATTGATATTCAATACATGTCCATTCTACCAATGTTGATGCACCTCAATACACGCGCGAATACATTTTTACGTTTCATAGATTTCTCACTATTTTGATAAGCCAGATTATTACATTTCAGTTTTGAGTGACCATATTGCGGGCGTCTCTTAACATAGATGAAATTTTAATGTTTTAACGTGTCAGAGTGTGCAGAATTTATTTTCGCTTTAAATATGCTGCATGAGTGGGTAGTGCAAGGCTTTAACACGATGATGGGGTGCTTACATTTTCAGGTTTCTTATGGTGGGTGGATGGCGGGTGCTCTTGTGTGGTTTGCTCCTTCTGTCCTATCAAACAACAATCGTCTTTATCTCCCCTACTTCTTTTTTATGTTTGCTACTGTTTTAATTGTAGCACCTCTAATCTTCGGCACTCATAGGACCTTATTGTGTTGCAAGTGCCGTAAAACGCTTACTAAAACTTTTAAAAAGTTTCTTATGGGCGCCGCTATATGGTCACTTTTGAGCACAAGAGGGCTATCCCGTAAAATTGTGTTTTGAGAAAATTGAAGATAAAGTTTATGCCCCTTGTTCAGTTTCTTTAAAAGACAAGGAGAGTTATAACTAAATAAAAATGCAGACCAATGAAACCTAGGTAGGGCAATGCCCACTTTTGGTGAAGGTCGAGATTTCTGGAAACCCCCGAAATCTGGTTTAGCCCGCTTGTCCTTAAAAGCGACCATATTATACAAGTATAAATCTATATCCATGACCAAACTCTGAGCCACACACGGCAAGTCCTGTGTTCTTGAGTACTTGTCAACTGGCACACACACACACACACA